CCCCAAAACCCCAAAACCCCAAAACCCCAATTTTAAGATTTGGCTTAATAATTTTAATTTAGAAATGGAGATCTGGCTTGTGAGGCACGGTGAGACTTTTGGCAATAAGCAAAGAATTGTAGGATTTTTTGGGGATTTTTTAGGTGCAAGGTCATAGCGGAGGGAAATTGACGAAATTAGGGGAGAGGCAAGCATTATTGAACCAGAAGAAGTTGATGAATGTGGATTTTGATGGTAAGAGTTGGAATCTAAGGGACTTTGGGTCTGGAGATTAGTTCGGGGTTTAATGTTCTCAATGTTTGGGATTGGGTTTATTGAGAATTTGATCTATTGTAAGACTCTCTTTATTGTAACGATCAATAGTTAGTAAGATTACTTCTAAGAATTGTCTCTCTTCTTAAATAAGTACATCAGTATAATAAAGTTCGAGTAAACTGATTGTTAATTTTTAATTGGGAGAAGAAATTTTCTTTCCATCTCTAATACCCATGTAGCCATCTACGTCAGCGACAGTTTTAGAACTAGACAAACTGCCAATATAATCCTAGAAGGTTCCAAATACTCCAAAGTTCATTTATCCCCTCTCCTTCGTGAAAAAGGCGGTGGAGTAATGGAAGGCAGGCTTCTCAGCGAGCTCAGGAAACAAGCCGTCAAATTCGAAGGTGGTTATCGAAACTATAAAGCCGAAGGTGGAGAGAGCTGGTCTGATGTCCATATAAGAGCAGAGACGTTCTTTAATAACCTTTGTAATCGGTATTTCAAGGGCGAAGAAGAAAAATCCAACCTGTACGATATCAAACAAGCTGTTGATATTGGAGATGATTATAGCTCACTTGGAGGAGAGAAATGGTATTTTTGGGGGAGTGAGGTTTAGAGTGAAGGAAGAGGAAGGGAAAGAGGGGGAGGAAGAGGAGAAAAAGGAGGTGAAAGTGAAGGGAAAGTAAGTTTTGGTGGGGAATGAGTGTAGGGAAGATCTGGAGTAGGGTTAAATAATTTTGAGCTTGAGAGATAAGGTTACTTATCTCTCATTTATTGTAGATATTAAAATATTCGTTAATCTGCCTGGCCTATTACACACAAGTTTCCTATTTCCAAAATTATCCTTTCCCTCATTCCTTGCTCTTCGCCCTAACCCTCTCTAAATATCCCTCTAGAAAATCAAAGATAAACCCTGAAACACGTAAAATCCTTACAAATCTCCAAGAATGGGAATCCACCCATCCTAGCTTCAAAAGAATCCTAGTCGTTACTCATGGTGGCTATATTATGGAGTTTTACAACACGATGAAAGAAGTTAATGGTCAGAAGATATCAAATGATAATAACGCCAAGAATTGTGCACTGTATATTTTTGGAGTCACCGGAGGGGAAGCTGGAGGCTTGGGTGCTACTGGGGGAAAGGATGAAGGTATGTTAGTTTTCGGGCATTTGTGGGCTATTGTGATAGGAGTGGGGTGTGGGAGTCGGAGAGATCTGGAGATTGGCTTTGGAGAGGTTTTGGTGTTGATAGTATTGATTGTTAAGTCAGCTCCTATGTTTTTGTGATAACCTAAAATCTTTGTTTTAATAGAGTCAAAATCATCCCATCCAGAGCTTTCAGTCGATTACCTCCTGATAAACCACAAATTTCATGATGAGCAAAAGATCCTTACCTCAACTTCTACCGTGATGCCATCTTTTACTTCAAAATCATCTGCTTCAACTAGGCCGAAGCCTTTGCCAAAACCTTTGGGCAAACCCTTGGTCAAACCCAAGGCTTCCGGACCAAAGCCTAGCACAAAGAAGAAGGTAGTGAAGACTAAGAAAGAAGAAGGAAAGAAGACGGTGAAAGCAAAGGTGTATGAGTTTGGAGGAATGTAAACGACATTCATGCATTTTCAACTGAGAAGATTTGGGAAGGGGTTTTGGGGTTTTGGGGTTTTGGGGTTTTGGGG